AACTAAGGTAGCTGCACTAGTTTTGTAGTTGATAGGGTAACAGTTTCAGGTATATTTACCTCGATTTGGTTGCGACGAATTACAAACATCATTCTCCCCTACAATTTGCATGTAAATCATATCATATTTCGAAGCAAACTATCACTTCCCAAATACACATGTGATTTAATTATAAAAAAAATCACTAAAATATTTTCCTCCATGAAATCCATATTTCAGTAATATTCATTCCGATTATAACATCATCATCATCATCATCATCATCATTCGATATTTCACTGTTGATCCGATATTAACTGGATGGGAATTTTTCACACTAAATATGGTGTTTTATTCACAAAGTTCTCATCATATTCCTCTTGTTGACAATGTTTGAATGTAAATCACAGTCATTCAACCACGGTGCACCTACTGTTATAGAAAGAAACTGTTCAGATATGGTGATATACGTGATTAAGTTTCATCTCAAAATATATTGAAATTAATGTTGCGTTTCGATGGGAAATCACGCAGTTGTTATTGAGTGGAATCTTGTTGATGAAAATCACCGTTAGTTCTATCGAAGCGTCCAACTACATGATTGATATATGCGTGAAATCATAGTTCAAGAGCACATAGATTTGTCTAAAGAACGGTTATTTGTGGAACATAAATATAAATTGGTCACAATGTCAACTCGTGGGGTATCTGGAGTAATTAAGGCGTCTGTATATCTGGAAATTTAAAGGCTTCCTTTAATAATAGGATGTAGCGTAATTACAACATACCATAGCGTAAATGACGGCTGATAACTGCATCGAATGTTAACAACGGTTTATCAACAGCCAAAATGTGAACTAACGAGCACACGAATCTGGGAACTGTAGCGTATAAACAAAGATCAAAGGAATTTAAAAAAACTGAGAATAACTTTCATAGGAGTTTAGAGGAAAGAATTGTAATAGTAAATACAGGTAATGTTATAGGCGTGGGTAAAAGCTTTTGGACATAACATAACAAATAAACTTGCGTTACACTATACGCTTACAAATTGTTAGCAATAGAACTGCTTACTGAACTAAGTTAACATTTATAAATAATCGCAACATTTACAAACCTCATCAATTGATCTTACCAACATTTCAAGTTTCATGATTAGCAGAAAGTTTATTCACTTATTGATTATGCATATATATAGAGCTTCATTTGATATTAGTAACTCTACATAAAAAGACCCATTAAACTTAAATGAGAATCATGTTTTATAGAAAACTAAATGATGTTGAGAATTGAATTCGTGCTAACTGACTGGGCGGTGGTTTGGTTACACTGGGAAATAAAAGCTGTATTTTATTGTGGTTACGTGATTATACATGAATTAGGAGTCTTAAACTGGGACGAAATAACTGTCCATTGTTTCCTGGTCTTTAGTGATATCCTAGAATTACTTTAAAATTGTAAGAGAGCTTCTCGAAAATTAGCTTAAAAGAGATTCCGGTCGGTAAATTCCAACCAGCACGAAAGGCAGGACCACATGATGACGATTACAGCCCAGTAGACGAATAATGGAATAAATCAAATCCTACAGGTGGCCAGACATAGCCAAAATAAATATATGGAGGCAATTTTGAATGGGATAAGCAATAATGAAATATCTAGTATTCAGAAAACTTCAAGTTCCATCAAATATAACTGAGGTCATGGTGATGAGTAATAATTACCATAAAAGCTAGGTTCACGATTTTCTCACTATAGCCTGGAATCACCAAGCAATGAATTTCTAGCTACGTAATTTTTTATTCACTCACTGGCTACTTAATAATTAATTAAGTAGGAAAGAACATAATGACTTTATTGGGTGGAATTTTGTTAGATTAATGGGATTAATTTTCACATGTGCACTCTTGTATATCTTTTTTAGACTATCAAATAAAATAAGAGGTTTTCTAAGAATCCACCATCTGTTAATATTAGGTAGATCGAATTTATGTTTTCATCATAGTACTACGCCTGCATTTATTCGGTTATTTTAGAGCTATTTTACCGTGATTTTCTTATTAACGTGAGTTTTCATTAGCAATTGTTGAGTTTACTCTGTCAAATGTGAAGACTTCACGAAGCAGTAAAGTATTGGAAAAGGCTTTATAGTACACAGGAACTCTGTTTAAACCAATATAACTATAAAATCAACGCAATGAATTCGCTAACTGTCCCGTGGTGTAAGGTATTTTATCAAACTTTGTTAAACGAACTGTTCAACTAAGTCACACCATTCTATTTCAACTTACTAACTCTCCCCTACAGGAATAATATTATAAATATCTAGTGGATAGATCAATTTCCGGAAATCATCAAAATGCACAGCAAGGAAAGCTTTAGCTTGGAATCCTGAAGGTTAAAGTAAAAGAGGGAGACCAAAAAAACATTACCCTGGGAATTAGCGCCAGACATCAAAAGAACGAATAGAAATCGGCAATAAGTGAGAAGGAAAAGTGAGGGCAGAGTCGATTGCAAATGTCTGTCCGGGGGCCTATGTTTTACAACGGGCAACAGGCGTAAGAAAATAAACCATTTAATGGACGGTAAAAATTGTAACTTAGCTGTGAAGTTATGTCCACGTCGCCTAATACTTATATTTGAAAAACGAGAATCCACTATGATTCCCCAGATAAAAAGTAAGAACACTAAGACTGGTACAAGTGAAAATTTATTAACTCTAAAAAGCGATGACCCTAGTCAAAAATACAGTCATTTATATATTGATTGCACATTCATTTTGATTATTAATTAGAATAAAATAACACATCAAAAATACCCAGACTTATGACAAATCACATGCTGCATATCATGCTGAGCATAGTTCATATTAGTTTATTGCAAAAACATTGTATCTTGAGTAACCAACACACTGAACTAAAGCGATTTATGGTGATTAAAATAGTACACCGTAAGTAAAACAAATATTACACTTGATAACCATAGTATTGAATTAAAAACGGAAGTGATGTTGAAAAAGTGTTATAATGAGTTCAAAACGTAATTTCGGCTTCCCATCCCGTCATATTATAAGTGCATAAAGACTTTCGTTCGAGGTATTTTATATTCAGTATGATGGAGTGCGAATCTTTAGAAATATCCAATTACATCGGTATGATTAATTCTCAGTAGTGTTACCCAGTCACCAATTATAGATATAAATACCTTTTATGTGAATCTTGTGCTATCGCTATATACAACCATTAATTACACTTAAGACAAAATGGGATTGTTGTCGTTTTTACAAAAAGAATTGTTTTTATCTTGTATACCTTAGGTACATTGCATGAAAAGCTTATAAGACCCACTGATAGCCAGATATCAAAAGTGAATTCATAATCCACGATATGATTGAAAAGAGTGAAAATCCAATCACACATCCACTATGTTGCAAGAAAAATGATTATATACTGATTACTTTTAGAAATAACTTGATGACATATTTGCTACAGTACAGTGTTAACAGAGATCCTATGTCGTTGTTTTTATTTATCTGACTGATATGATCATCTGGATTAGTATTACAGAAGAAATATACATTTGGACTGATGATGCACAGATCTAAGATAAGTGCAATCATCACTACCATTAGCACTTTTTGCGTCACTGATTCATATTAATATCACAAGACAACAGAAACCACAAATTGTTTCAACAAGTTAAAACTGTAATGAAGAACTACTGACTAGTGGAACGGTATTATAGATCTAACCAGTAAAATCATCCAGACCATGTTGTAGAAAGGATCGAAATTTCACAAAACAAAGATCTTCACTGTCAATTTTTAATTGATACGACCATTTCCAACCATTCGTCATTATTCATTTATAACTGTCCTTTAAGATCTTTTCTCTGACTGGGCTCCTTTATGTAGGCAGAAGCTACATAATTTCATCGTATGACATTAATAGGTTAGCTATCCCATATGTCATAAGAGTAAACGCCTTGAAGAACATTGTCCGGCATGGCTAAAAAGAGGAAGCGGCTCAATAAAAAGCTCAGTAATCGAGCACCTTGTGAACACAGGTCACTCAATCAAGACATTTACAAGGTAAGTAGAAGTCTCTCCAAAACGATTAGACTGCATCTTCTTTGCATTGCCGAAGCTTTAGCGTTACACCTAGAAAGACCAGAATTGTGCGTGCAAAAGCGACTGGTACAACTTCTTCTTCTACTATGGTCCTGATGTCTTATATTTTTCTCTTCATACTCTTCCTTTACGGCTATCTGCTTCACCCTCAATCTTTCCCTTAAATTTTTTACCCCCAACCGGTTCATTTTGTTTCCACGATCATCCTCATTACATTTAATCTAAATTTCAATATTTATCTTATCATGCTGATCTACCCTTTCCCAGTGATAATTTCCCTATGTCTCCTTTGATGAATACTTAAGCCATTAACAATCAAACGATTATTGAACTTTCCTTGTTTTTAAAAGAATTCTTTAATAACTTTGTTTATTTAACCTCACTGTCAACATGCCTAACAGAAGTCTATTATCATCCTGTTAAAATAAGTATATATATTTGCGATCGTATAGCTTTGAAAATGAATTCGCCGAAAAGAGGACTCTTCACTGAACTAATCTTTCTTAATTAATGTCTTAATGGGTATAATCCGTTTATTAAAAAATTTGTCTTTATCAAAGTTATCTTCAAAAATGTTTACCATCATATCTGAATAGATTTAATTTTTATATATAATGGGGACACTGCCATAAGTGATATTATCATTATCAGTGATTTAATTAATCCTTCTTACGTAGTGTATATAGGTTTTAGATACAAATTAAGTTTGAAATGACGATGCCTAAAAAAGCTTTCGTTGTACGACAGAATAAAATTTAAAAAATATGAAAAAAAAACGATCAAACACTTTGTATCCCCTGCAACTGAATATACACCAATATACAATAATAAATTCATGAATATCATATGGGAAATATGTAGTATTTTGTAAAGAAAACAATATTTCTCTATATTTCCAATGTTCATATTGGGAAAATATTTGAAAATAAAAACAATGAACATGGTATTTTCAGCTTATTTCATAACATAATATACAAACGGAAACTAGCTCAAATTTTTATATCATGAGACAAGTAAGCAAAGGAAACGCAAAATATACTGTACAGTAAGATGCAGAATAATTAAAGGAAGTCGATAATTAAAATAAGAACATTTGACAGTAAATACTAATCACAATGACATATTACGACCTTCAATACTCATTGGAACTGCACGAGCAGCTTTGGCATGACTTTTACGAGCACTATTACTTAAATTTCGAATATGACTTTCAATTCGTGATGTAGCTCCAAAACCAGATGTTCGTGTTTTTCGATGCTTTCGAGAAATTGACTGGGATTGTTCTGTCTGATCATCATTTCCCTCTTCGTCATTATCCTCCCCAGTAGCATTCTCTCGAACACGCCATTTTGGTCGGATAATATAATCTTTATTTGATGGTTGAGGAACTCGGGCTCTATTAACCCATCCAGGATCGCCAGGCCTCAAAAGTCTATAATCATAAAGCAATAAATCAGAAATATTCATCGAAAATATGGTTTGTTTTAAATATATTAACAAAACAAGATAATTAGCAGAAAAAAAAGTTAGGCGATTCCGAAATAAGCACAAGGCTACTCATAATGCTTCGACAGATAATATTTTAAATTATAAAGTGTAGAACAATTAAAGACAGTAATTACCATTAACTGAACACTGAGGACAGTTATTAGTTAGTCAGAATTTTTCACAAACACGCCCTCTTTAAAACTAATTTAGAATTTTAAAGTATCATACATAAGCAGAAATAAATGTTAACTACAGAAGAAACAACGAATGATTTTCGCTATCGAAATGAGCGGTTATATAGCATAAAATTATTATCTGTATTATTCTTTACTGTACGACTAGGATTGGAAATGTGTTACTAGCAATTTATTCTGATCTTTAGCATTGTTGTATTACTTTGTTGTAGCCAGGTTTAAAGCTTTTTTTAGTCATTTTAATGTGGATTTTGTGTAGGGTTATTATTGATTTATCAAAAATCGATCTTTCTTTATCAGTATAGGGTTGTGGAGATTGTTGAGTTCTAATCGAGATAATGAATGGATCAACGTTAGACTACTATTGAAAACCTAGAAGCTTTAGATGGCCGTTTCGTTCTAGAATGGGAATTTTCAGCAGTGTGCATCCACGATCCCGCGCGCTGGACTAGAACTAAGGACCTTCGGTCTCTCGCGCAAACGCACCACTGGACCGGTATCCAACGATGTTAATGTCTAACTTCGATCGATTCATGATCTTGCGCAACTCTTCATCTATTGTCTGAGGTGGATAACTCTCACACTCGACATGGATTGGACTCCACTGGTCACTGAGACCGAAGGTGCTGGTTCCCCGTCTTGAGTGAGGGATCGTGGATGCGCACTGCTGAGGAATTCCATATTGAGACGAAACGGCCGTCCAAAGCTTCTAGGTTTTCAATGATGGTCTAGCTTAGATTGACTAGTGAATTCAACTTTGAAAATACTACAATCTCCACAAATCCTCAAAATTGATACTAAAATATGACTGTAGTAAAGAGGTCTTATATGCACTTATTATAAATCAAGCATACACGGTCCTTGTATAAATAAATTTACTAAGTACGATCATGGGCGAGTCGATTTTGATTCTAAATACTCACCGTAACGAGCGAATTTTCAGATCAGTCATCAGATTTTCTGAACCCTTGAACAACGAGTTATCCAAATGATCTATGCGATGAAACTCCATTCCTTTCTTGTTGTATATATCAATTTATAAACAAAAGTGACTTGACATTAAGGTTATCAATTCATTTACACGCTTTTTATACATGTGTAATATGTTTCAAATTATTGATTAGTTGTAGTCAGGGGATATTTATCCTCCCATTTCTATTTGGGAATTCGCTATTAGTACTATTCTATATTGTTTCTCTTCTTGATAAACTCGAATTACCCACCATTCTACTTCCAACACCACGTACACCAGTTATGGTGATATCACTTATTGAACAAATACAGATTCGTACACTCAACTTTGAGTCATATTTTGTGTGAAGGCTAGTGATACTACCGAGATGCCCAAATTGAGGTAGGTGAAACGGAGACATCAACTCCCCTTTAACTATTAAAATAACTGACCTACAGCATCAGATATGGTGAAAGCAAACGAACTAGACTGTGACTGGTAAATATACAGTCATACTTTTAGATGATGGCAAATAACTAAAGAACGCTATGATACAATGAAAAAGCCACTGAAAGTATGCGAGGCATAAATAAAAAAATTTGATTTTAGACTTGGACTGTAAATTACTCAGTGAAATTGAAAGTAATCAGTTTTTGCCAGACAATTCCTCATGTTTGGTTACGTTCTTTAAATAATGAACGACGAAGATATTAGTGGATTGATTCTTATTTCTGATGAAGTGCAATTTTACATGATGCCTTAATTCCGTCTTTATATTGTATTAAATTACTTGCTATTACTGAGTAGTATTTACATCACTTAGTTATTTTTTCACTTGACACATCAATGCATTTCTTTTGATTTATTTGTTTCATATTATTTTGACAAATGGTGCATGAACCTACTGTTGGTCACCGGCTACCATGGGACTGCATCTCCTGAAGTTGCTCCACTACCTTATGGATTAGACCTTTAGGTTAAAGACTCGGGGTGTGGACCCCTAAAAACATTACCTGCTTCGGTTTGGGCACCCGGGCAGTATCCCAACCCTCACATAAATCAAATGGTTTATTTGACGCATATCTTTTTGGTGCTTCCTTGTACCAATGCTTATGTGTTTAAATAGATAAATAATAAGTACAAGCTTAATGAATACTGCTGATTACCAATAATATAAGCAATTTTTCTACTGCGTACAAGGAGAAATAGACAAAGTCAAAATCAGAAAAACTAGAAGTGATCTTTACAGTTTTAGAACAATTCATTTGAAATGTAATTGAGTAAAGGTAAAATGTAATGGTAGAGTAATGATAATACCAACAATAGCAATGAGGAATTCTTCTTACCCTTTGGTTTCACCATCCAATTCACGGTTAATGTCCCGATGGTTGTAGGCCTCGTTACTGTAATTAAGCAAGTCAAGTGAAGTTTAATATTCTACAATATTTAACGTTCTAAACAAAGACAATACATAAAATTAAAATTCATTTTCATTGAAAACTTGGTCTACCGAAATACTCATTCTTCCATCATAATTAACGATAGAACAAGTGATCAGTGCAATCATAGTTCTAAGCTTCTGAGGAATATCTTCTTAAAAATCAATAAACTGATCGAATTGGTTTTATATCCTGATAAAAAAACAACTATTATTTAAACATTCTATCATTAGGTGAAATTTGTTCACAGTCACTTGTGATTCTGATAGGGATTTATTTATATCATACATATTCGATAGTTAGTCATAGTATAAAAAAAAGTTTTATTTGGATAAATCGGAATCATGTTATCTTATAAAAGAAATGCCATATATAATAATAAAATGGTTAACCATTTATGACGATGCTGGTAGAGTAAGAGTTCACAAAAGTCAGGAGACAATCAAATATATTCAGTACGAATAATTATATGGAATTTGATACAGACAACTGATGTATTCGTAGTATTGATAGCAAATTTCCCATACATTACTAATCTCGACCATCGAACTCTGATATTAAATTGATTATTCTGTTAGTGTGAGGTTCTCTATACAAATGATATGAAAAGCTAAACATTAGCCTGTTACCATACATCTGTGTCAATATAAGTTCATTCATAATTAATCTAACAGTAGACAAACATATGCAGGTTTTACCCTGATCATGACCGACTGACTAACTAAATAAAAAAAATACAAAATACATGGTCAATTCATAATACCCTTGTGCAGAAATCAGGTACAGAAACAGACAAGATAAGTGTACTTTTGTACGTTGAAAATTGCGAAATTCTCAATTAAAGTATTTCACTGAACAGCTTTGAAATTTAATGAATTCATTATTCTGAAGACCATGTGTCCTATGATTACAATATCAAATTCCATTTTTTAAACTCTATGCTACGAGAAAACTAGATACAGACAGAATTCGTAAATAAGATTATTCAATATAACCTTCAATTCGTGTAATACGATAAGGCACGTAATATAAATATTTGAATTTGCATCACTTATGAAATAGTGAACATTTTTATCATTAATGTCAATTTATTAGACACACTGTAAATGGCAATACTATTTTGACTATTTATTTGAATTTTTTAGTTATTGAATAAAACAGGACCTGATAAATGGTTTTTATAAAATTATATTACAGAAAGACACCACTTAATAGGTACATTATTTTATAGTCAGAAGATAGCTAAACGAGACAGGTGAATGTTTCTGAATACCAACAAAGATAAATATTACCAACTATCAAATAAATTCTAAATTTAACACTTGGATTTCACTCATAAATTTGAAAATAAAAAGTCATCTCATTTGCTAATAACAGGTCGACATGTATATATGGTGGTCAGTATTTCTGTACTATATAATTATAAATTAATCCAAATAGTATTGACATCAAGATATAGTGAACACGGGATTTAAATTCCACATTACGCGCTGTTCTATTACTTGCTTACCAAGTAGAAGTTCACACATTCGGTTCTCAACAACACTTTCTTCCTATATGAGGCTTGCTAATATCACCCAGTTAATTAGACAGAAGTTAATGAAGCTGGATTCTAACCTATAACCTATTGGTTGGAAACTAAGTTTTAAACTACGAACCACCTCTTCTACGCAACTTATATACAAACTTTTGTATCAAATAGTCAATACTAGAGACTGTTGTTACATAAAGGACCAATGAACATGCTCTGAAGTGAAAAAAATATTTGTAACACAAAATATGAATGTTAACAGCGTCACTTAACGGTTTATTAGATACTTTTTTAGTAGACACATTCAACAATATGACCATGGAAATAGAACTTACTCGATGTTTCTCCGCTTAGGTAAATGTTCATAATCTAGCTGTTTACGTTCCTCCTTAGTAAGAGTTCGATAGTCACTAGTCAAGTTGAATATGGGTCGGAGCCATTCATCTACAATGAAGCACCAGATCATACACATAGAGATATGAAACAAAGATCAGCAATAAGGGAAGTATCGTGATTAGTCTACAAAAACTACACGACATAAAGTACAAACCAGTGCTATATTTACCCTCCTTTTGTGATGTTTCGCTACTAAGTAGTAACTGACAATGATGTCCATGCCACTGACTACACTTAGTGTACAGGCTGTTTTCCAACCAAAAGTATTCTTCATATACGGTTTTTACAGCAGGCAGAAGTGAATAATCATCATCAATCTTGTGAACTTTATTTTCATTTGTTAACATACCGGTGTCTCACAGTTGCACCATTTTTGTTGAATATCAAACATATAAGTAATGAAAGTAATAATATCCAAACAGATATTCTCACATTCATTTTGTCGGCTACTGATTCTTTTTGAAGAAATTTATTTGCTTAGGATTTGAGGCTGTTCCAAGAGTATAAATTATCGATTCACCCTTCTTTGTCACAGTAACATTTCAAGTCGGGCTTAGTAATTGTAACCTTCTGTGATTTGACAAGTGCATAAAGTTGGCTTTTTACACCATACGGTCAACACCAAATTGTTTATACATGAAGATCGGATGCTATTCAGGGCACAGATATACAATTCCCACCTAATTTTAATTTATAATGTGAGTATTAAGTTGTGCTGGTCCTATAATATATTCTCGTTGCTAACTTCGTAGTTTTAGTCTTAGCAAACCAGTAGATTACCGGGAAAATGTAATGCGGCCAAACAATCAATTTTATACTGATGTTTGAAATTGGGGTTTTTGTAAAGATTAGTGACACTACCCTGTTGTTCCAAAAAGGTAAAAACATGCAGTCTGATTGTTGGAAATCGGACTAATAAGTAAATGGTTTCATTCTATTTATCAGGCCATGAATATGTTGCACTAGTTTTGTGGACCTTTAGCCTGGTTAAGAAACGTTGAGCTCTTATTTAACGGGCATTTCATTAGCTGTGGTTGAGTGGTTTGAGCGACAGTGCCAAAACACGGGCAAAAGGATATTACATGTAAAAAAAACCCATTCACATTTGTATGATGAGTAGAACATAATGTTGCTGTAACTCAATGCAACTGCAGATAATTAACTGGAGTTTAAGATAGTCATGAAATTTTAGGAAAACTACTCACTAATAAGTCTTCCAGCTCTATCCTTGTTTTCTCGAGTTTCTCTCGGGTGTTTGTACAAATACATCAAGGCTTTCCCGATACCGGATTCTTGAAGAACTTCAGATGACAGTGACTGGAACTCACTGAGACTAGTCAACATAGAGTCACGAATAACGAGATTCGGGAGTGTATGGCCAGGTAAAGGGGATAGCCACTCAGTTATAGCGGAAAGCATTCCATTTTCTATTAAGGCGGATTTCAGGTCAGCTCGCCTAAGAATAGCTAATACTTCTTTGAGCATGTTCAGTTTCTTGGTTGCTGGTCGACTAGCTGTAAGTAACTGTCTGTCTTCATCGGCAGCACTTTTCATTCGAGAAATGGTTTCAACAATCAAATCATCACTATCATTAAGGAATTCAATATCCCTATTACGTCTACGTCTTCGTCGTGATTCTTCTTTCTTTTTTTCCATTATCCGGTCGAAGTCGGAAACGAACTCATCATCATGTTCAGACTCTTCATCCCCTTCGTTTTCTCCAGCTGTCGTAAGGGGACCTTTTTTTGTTACTAACTCACTAGATGTTTGAACTTCAACCTCCTCTTCAATACCTTTGTCCAGTTCATTTTCGGCGAAGCCCTCAAACTCTTCTTCTGCATCACTTTCGCCAAATATATCTGCTATGATGCCATCCACTTGAGATTCTGGTTGTTCATCTCTCTCAAAACCTTCGAAGTCTTCATTGAATTTACCTTGATCTTGATCATCATCATGATCTTCAAAAATGTCAGGGAAATTATTATACTGGAGTGATTCGATGGGAGAATTATGCTTGGTTGTGGGATATTTCTCTACAGAATTCACTTGAGGAGTTTCATCGACTTCCTGTTGATGAAACTCTTCCTGATCTTTTTCGCTTACAGACTCTGAGTCATCGTTGCTCTCGTGTTCGACTTCATCTTCCTGATGCACTTCACTAGAAATATTTGGATCAGTTTTCCCAGTCACATTTACATCTGATGCATGTTCACTTCCGGAATAACTCAGGGCAGGACTGGATTCGGGAGTTAAAGCTTGACTTGGAGCATAACCTGGGGTAGTGACATCCACAACAGGTTCAACGTGATATTCCCTATCGTAATCCAGATTCTCCGAAAAATGATTTTGTTCAGATTTAACGATCGAATGCTCACTCGAAGAATCAACTGGAGAATGTGGAGGATTATGAGAATAAGATAAGTGATCTTCCAGATCATCACTTAGATCGTCAGAGCCCGAATTCTAAGAATGATCATTTGGCATATTTATAACTTACTTCATCAGCTTCAGAAGGAACATATCTAGGTTTATATGATACATTTTGATTATCCACAATCCGGCTGCGAACAGGATCATAACCATCATGTTCATCACCAGACTCATCTTCAAAACTTGAATCCCTAGAACAAATAAATTAATAAATAAAATCAGAGAAAATAAACTGAAGGGTAATTATGAAGAAATTCAAATAGAATAGTGAAGAACTGAACGAACCGGCTTCCAGATGAAGAGAAATTGGGAAAAAACACTAGGGGCGTCATGCAGATGCAATCAATGCCCATCTTTACTCTTAGGTGGAATGGTAGCTAACCTAGAAGCTAGAGCTCGGTTCGATACTTACTAGCAACAGAAGTTGCAACCAACTTGCTGACATCAATCCTTTGGTGGCGGTCACTTCGTTGGCCACTGAAAAGTAAGGTAAGATTGGCGCAGACGAGGGCATGATCAAAGTGCAGATAGGTACTCTAAAAGGAACGTCAGTCTTGTACACAACCACGCCAGCGGTAGCTGATCGCGATGTGATCAATCTGAGTCCAGGCTTGAGATGCAGAGGGAGGACGTCAGGTGGTACATTGGCTATGACTGTACCGAAAGTTAGTGCTAGTCAGAAACAGGTTGTGGTCTGTGCACAGTTGCAGTAGACGGTCCTCGTTATCTGTCTTGCGACCAACAAGTCCCCATCAGCCACCTAAACGACTCTCTTCTGTGCCTAGACGCTCGACTTGAGCATTCATGTTTCCGGCTAGTACTACAATATCTGTCGAACGCACTTTCTGGAGAACAGTTAACTGGTGATAGAATTCATCTGGGCTGCAATCTGTCGGGATATAGGCGGAGATGACGAAAAACATCGTTTCTCACGCCGATTTCTTCTCACTTTGATGGAACTCTCTAATCTAACAGCACACAACTGACTGTTAATGGGGATTCAATCTATTAGTGCTGCCTCAGCTCTAGCGCTTATTTATTTATTTTATTTTATTTGAACACATAAATATTGGTACAAGAGAGCGCCAATATATATGCGCCACACAAAACAATGGGAATTCGAAGAGAAGTAGAAAGAAAAAAAAACTAAGGAACGCAAAAGAAAGAGAGAGTAATGACGAAGAGGTACAATCAGAAGAAATCTTTCAGGTAAAGGAGACACAACCACTTTTTATGAAGAAAGTAAAAGAAGGTTACAGCAGGATCGCCACTGGCTTCTATTCTGAGCCATATCTGATAACGTCTCTAGCCACTGTGTAGCACCATCTCTCGGACCCCAGCCAGGGAGTCGTGAAGGACCAACACAAGCCAGTCCTTTGCAGCTTTCTTTCATGCCACGACACCATGTCATGCACTGACCACCTCTCCGCTTCTTCCAACCAGTCCCAGAGTCGGCAAATAATGCACGACGTGGAATTCTCTGGGACGACATTCGGAGAACATGTCCAAGCCACCGAAGTCGGTGTTTCAAGATGGTGACACCAATTGAGTTATCATCTCTGTGCCCGAACACACGATGCCGAACCTCTGCATTACTGACTTGGTGTTGCCACTGAATGTCAGCAATCCTTCGGAGACAGCGATGATCGAACACAGAGAGTCGTCTAACGTCCTCAACTCGGAGAGGCCTGCTTCGGTTTGGGCACCCGGGCAGTATCACAGCCCACACACAAATGATGAACTCTATGTCCATGGAAATTACTTTTGTCGCTTTGAAAAACAATTACTTTTGTCGCTCTAGCGCTTAGTGCGACACCAACGTCAGCAAGACCAGACGAAGATGCCACAGGGTCCCCGGATAAACGCACGTAAAACAAGCTTTTCGAGGCAACAGATGGAGAACGAATTTGTAGTACTCCACCAGTCTTGAATACGGGTCTCGGATAGGCAAAAAACGTCGATATTAAGACTTTCCAAAGACATAGCCAGCACTATCTATTGAATGGTGGTTTCAGAAAAACTGCTTCAGTATTCGTATTTGGTGGTAGCATACAATTTTCAACCAGGCAGTGATTCTAGAACGTTTAGATAGAAGTTTCCACCATGGCCGAGCTGTTGCATAAGTCGAAAAATAAGTATACACAAAGTGGAAATAAAAGAGAGTGAATAAGTGACGTAGTAAATAATAATAATAATAATAATAATAATAATAATAATAATAATAATAATAATAATAATAATAATAATGTGAATTATTTGACTGTTAATCGAAGAGTTAAAAGAATTTTTAGTAAATATCATTTTCATTTTATTTGTGTGTGAGCTGTGACACTGCCCGTGTGCCCATACCGAAGCAGGTGGTTTTCTTAGGGGGGGGCACACCCCGAGCCTTCGACCTAAAGGTTTGACCCACAAGAAAGTGGTAACCGCCCTCACATCTCTAGCGGCACTCAAGACCACTGTATTCATTATCAACCTCTTCCTTCAGTCCCTATTACTCCCCCTACATCGCTTTTCAACACTAAACTTCCTCCTCAAGTGTCATCATGACCAACGATTCTAGTGCGCGAAACACTGTCCCAGGTCTACTGAAACCTCACTCCAAACTACGATTTGGAGCCTTCAACGTACGCACCTTGGCTGAGACTCTAGAATCTCGTACCATTGATGTATGCTGTGTCTCCGAAACACGCATACAGGATCCTAGTGTGACCATTCACTTGACCTCACCTCGCCTAAACGAAGAGCCGACGAGATACACTCTCCGTGTATCTGGCGACCTGATTGCTAGTTCTCATGGACTGACAGGTGTGGGCACAACAGTAAGCACGAGAGCGGAACAAGTACCATTATAGTGGATCCCCGTTACCAGTTGTCTGTGTTGTTCGGCTTAACGGCTCCGTAAGAACTCGAAGAGACAGGAACACACGTCGTTGCCTTTTCGTCGTTTTTACCTACGCTCCCACTGACTGCAGCTCGGATGAAGTTAAAGATGATTTTTACAGAAAGCTTTCTGAACTTCTTCAGAAAGCTAAACGCTCAGACATAGTACTCGTAGGAGGTGACTTTAATGCCCAAGTAGGTAGCTTAAACCAAAGAGAAAGACATTAAGGTGGGTATTCTGGTATTCCGACTTAGAGAACAGATAATGGTGATCGTCTGCTGCAACTATGCTCAGACAATCGTTTATTTTTAGCAAACATTAATTTTAGGCATAAGGAGAGACATCGTCTAACATGGTGACCCCCTGCACCAAACAAACGATGGACTCAAATAGAGCTTATTGCCGTCAGTCTTCGTTGAAGAGTGTCGATAGAAGATTGTCGCTCGTTCTGGAATACCTGCGTGGACTTGGATCATGCTCTAATACGGGCACGTATCTCCTTGCGCCTCACTGGACACAAGAAAGCCACACCAAGAAGACCCATCAGAAGTGAATTAAGTGATGAGAAAGCTGGAAATAGATTCCAGGAACAACTGAGGCCCAACTTAGGTAGTTCTAGAAACGAGGTTGACCCAGATGTTGTTTGGAAAGATATACAAACAGCTGTGGAAACAACGGTGACATCTGTTGGTGATTTAAATCAAAGAGTTACAAAGTCTATTGCACTGATGGATTCTCGTAAACATCCCATCAGGCTCTGAACACGATGATGAGCAAAAGCAAAAGATGGAAAAAGCGGCGACTATAGGTAGCAGCAGACAGCTCTTCAGACTCATAAAAGAAACTGGAATTAATAAGTCAAGTATGAGACTATCTCGGAAAAAGACGACACTCTCATCTGCTCCCAGTCCAGACGTTTAAAACGATGGGCGGAACACTTTAAGGAGCAGTTCAGCTGGCCTTCAGTTACTCTACAACTACCCACCATTCTCAGACAGCGTGAATGGAACATTGAAGTAGGTCCCCCGACTCTAGCTGAGGTTCAAAGGGATATAGCTAATCTGAAACGAGGAAGAGCAGCTGGACCAGATGGATTGGCCCCAGAGGTCTTTAAATATGGTTGTCCAATTTTAGCGATTAGGTTGACTAATATTTTAGCTAAATCCTGGGAGTTGGACGTTATCCCATCTGACTGGTCTCAGTTACTGGTTGTCTAAATATATATGAGAAGGGGGTCAAATCATCCTGCAATAACCATAAAGGGATTAGTTTGACTAAAATAGAATCTAAAGTACTAACCTCAATAATTATCGGGCGCCTAACAAAGACTTGTGAACCGTGAACGCGAGAAAACCAGGCTGATCTCAGATCTGGTCGTGACTGCATCGACCACATATTCACCATTCGTCAGGTTCTAGAACACAGGCATACTTATCGGCGTCCGACAATGGTGGTCTTTCCTGACTTAAAAGCAGCATTTGATTCTGTAGACCGAGAGGTTCGGTGGCAATGTCTATCATTGAAAGGTGTACCTCAGAAGTACGTAGACCTTGTGAAGACTTTACTCGAACACTACCAGTCGAGTCAGAGCTTATGGCGAACTGTCATCTGCTTTTGCAACCTCAAGTGGTGTGCGTCAAGACCTACTAATGGAAATAACATTCTCATCGACTGAATTCTCGAGCATTGATTTCCTACCAGTAGGTGAACTTGTCGACTTAGAATACGCAGATGATATAGTCCTGTTTGGTGAAGACGCTGATAAAATGCAGTCTTTCGGTAGCACTGAGCAACAATACCAGAATGTTTGGAATGCGCTTCTCTCCCTTTAAATGCAAGTTGTCGCTTCAGGACTGGTCTGCGTCAACACCTGAACTAAGGATAGGGAGTGAAGTAGTCGAACGCGTTGACAACTTCAATTATGTTGGAAGTCTGATCAACCCTAATGGGTTGGTGTCTGACGAAATCTCAGCACGGATTCAAAAAGCTCGCTTGGCTTTTCCCTTCTTACGTCACCTATGGCGAAGGCGAGATATCCGTCTATCAATAAAAGGACGAGTATACTACGCGGCAGTCCGTTCTGTTTTAATTTACGGCAGCGAAACATGGCCATTAAGAGTAGAAGACACTTGTAGGCTACTAGTATTTGACCACAGATGCCTTGGAAATATTGCTCGCATCTGCTGGGATCACCGGGTAAGTAATAGTGAGGCTAGACGCAGGGTATTAGATGATGGTAAATCAGTTTATGAGGTTGTGAATCTCCATAGACTGAGATGGTTGGACCACGTGTTACGTATACCTGGACACCGATTACCACGACGCGCAATGCTGAATAGTGTAGGGGATGGTTGGAAGGAAGTTAGGGGCGGCCAAACAAAAACGTGGCATAAGTACTTGAAGTCACTAACATCTATTCTGAGCCATGTTCGTAGATGCAGACTACTTGGTTGCGGTCCGCGTGACTATCGTAACCAATAGTTGGACACTGTGTGACATGGCTCAGAATCTATCACAATGGCGTGGGTGTATACACTCTTTAACTTCCCTTAAACTATGAGATTAAAGTTATTTCATATTTTTCTTTCTACGATGTTCGTCTTGGTGTGTTAATGAGGTGTGGCAACTTGGACCGATGCATGTATGTGCCTGGTCCTGCGTTGTAACTGACTGCATGATTATTATGACCAATAGTTTGGGGCTTGAAGTGACATGCCTCGAAATCGTTTGCAATGCATATACTTTTTATCCTACCTGAGATACTAAGATTCTAAGTTCCTTGTACATTGTTCTGTATTTTACGAATTTACATTTCCTCCTTGAATCGTATTTCCGATATCTAATTGTTTATATTATTACTAGTACTGTTAACACATTTACTATTCTGGAATTTGTCCTAATAATTTCATCTCGTGCTAATGGTGTAAGGCAACTTGGACCGATATACACATGTCCCAGGTTCCAAGTTGCGTATGACTGGCTGGTACTAAACCCGGCAAGGTCGATTTACCATTAACTCTGTAAAATAAGGCTGACCAGTGCACTGCATAAGTGTTGTATGTGGCTTGATGAAGCAGTGCATTTGTAAGCATATTTGTTTACATTATTAACCATCTGTAAGATTAATAAGTATGGATAACATGACGCTAACAGGATATCTCTCTCTGTGGTCTAATATACGTTAGGCTCAATATACAAAAGTGGTTAATAAGTGACAAAAAACGTATAAAATTAAAACATATCAAAAGTCTATAAGGAAACGGACTACCAGCTTGAGTTATTCCAGTCAGTCATGATTAACATGCAGCCTAGAACAAACGTACATCACGAGTTGCCATACAAAACCGTCAAATACGGCATAGGTATAGTGGCAAGTATACGTCAGAAAAAATAAAGCCACCATTAGAAATTTTGTCAACCACGTTTTCTTACTTCACTATGTTATTCTCATTTGATCCTCGTTGAAACGAATTAAATATTACAGTAAGAGGATTTTCATGTTGAGCTAATTGAAAGATCTAACTTCAACCCGAAAGGCTTATTTAATCATGTTTTTTTCGATAAGCCAGACCCAGTATTAGGTTCTAATGACCCAACAACCAATGAAATTGATGGAACAGAGCTAACCCGTAACTCACACCAAGAATAGTCTAGGTTATGGTTTAGTAGAAATCTTTGAAGTCAACCTAGTTCGTACTTGTGAATCATAAACTACAGGATATAAAGAAAAATACTTATGACTTTTTCCAGTACTCACTAAGGTTATGGAATCTTTGATCCATGATCGACAAGCAATTGTCTACTGTAAAAAAAAACTTTTTACAAACCAACCGCATGGCTTCAGAAAGGACTGCCATTGAATTAAAAGGTCTGATGGGAGCGATGGATAACTGGACAAGAATAATTGTTACTAATTTTCGAGTTATAGAATACCCTAGTGAGGTTAGATGTTAGGGGTTCTGCTCTGTTAATTTACATGAACGACCCTCTGAAATACTTCCTTTTGTCAATTTAAAACTTTAGAGAGAAGTACACACCCAGAAGTGTAAGTTAACTCAAACTCGATTTCAAAGTTAGCTGAACAACGGATTGTCATTAGTAAAGATTTATACATATCGACCCGCTATGATGCGAAACTACATGTCAGATGTAGTGAAATTGTCTTTTGAGTCAACATTATACAAGTAACTCCGAAATGCATTTCTGACTAGTTTGACGGTAGAAATTCTCATCCTCCATTAAGTAAATGGACAGTCGTTTCTACTAATGTGAAGAGGATAAGAACAATGCATCGAAAACAAGTTCGGAGATTATTCACAAAAGCAGTTCGTGGTCTCGGGTTTATATCCTGCAATGAGCGACTGAAGTCAGACAGTCAGCGACAACATAGGGTCAGGCACATATGTGCATCCGTTCAAGTTGCCACACCTCATTAGCACAAGATGAACACTGGGTTCGTAGAAGCAGTTAATTCAGTGATGGTAATATATAAGAGAAAGATTGCATTTAAGGATATAGTAAAGGAAGAGAAAATTAAGTTGTAGAAAGAAAGATATGAGGTGATTGTAATCCCATAGTTTAAGGGAAGTTAAAGAGTGTATACACCCACGCCATTGTGATAGATTCTGAGCCATGTCACACAGTGTCCAACTATTGGTTACGATAGTCACGCGGACCGCAACCAAGTAGTCTGCATCTACGAACACGGCTCAGAACAGATGTTGGTGACTTTAAGCACTAATTGAAAGAACTGAATCAAAACGGCTCAGGGCATAAGAAACTTAAATGCAACTTAATGACTTAGAACCTTAAGGACAATGGTAACCTTTAAAGGTCCCAAATTTGGGACACACGTTCATTCCCAACAACAAGCTGGGAGCCAAGCATTGGTTGAATTTTAAGCATGTTCATAACTTACAATTCCCTACCGTTCAGAGTGGCTTAATTAACAACGCAGAACATCTGGTATCTCCTTAAGGATTATTTACTAATATTTCTTATCTTGGGTTGTATTCATATACTTAAGGGGCATCACTGATCTACTACCACAAAATAGAGAAGCATGTCAGGCGAAGTGTTATAAGTGCAGATAGTAAGTACATTAGCTACAAATGAAAGTACTCACTCCATCAGCATGACAGTGATAGAACTTTAAAGATTAACTAGCAGCTTAGCCGCAGGCCGATGGATTTAGAAGCGACCTTGACGTGAGCCAATCAACAACTGAAACCCATGTGACCCCGATTTTGAACGGCAATACGTTCGCAATGTTTAAAATGTTCAATGAGTTTGTCCTGTTGCGCACTTTCGATCACTTTTCCTTTCATCCACTCAATGAGTGTTTGATACTACGGCTGTAATTTTCAGCGAAGATCATTGGGTCTTCGATTTATTTTTATGCCGGTGACGTTCATAATTGTCGAGGAATAACAGAAGATGAAATGCATGTCCACTTAAGGCTGAATTAGAAGTTCTAGTTAACTAGTCCAAAACTGAGTTGATGTCCATCAACACAGCAAGATGTTTCTACACGCAGGCAAATGTTTATAGGGATATAAGGGTGTCGGTGCCTTCAGTCTTGTTTCACAACTGTTGGGCCAGTGAAATGTCACTGAGCCCTAGCCAAATCATCCGGCAGTTGGATCACTGAATGTCAAACAGATCATCGCTCCCTGCCAAGGTCATATACAAGCAACGCGCATTAGTTAATCATATGCCATGGACTGGCCCATGCGGCAGTGGTCTTACTTCCGCTTGTATCTACCTTAACTAATATATTTCTGTAATAACGTCCTCTGTGTTGTACAGTCTTCAAAGCATCTATGGTACCTTGATACGTCAATGGGGTAGTCCACGTAAGGTGCTGACCATGAGGTGTGACTTCGATGTTAGCTAGTTTGTCACACCATTCACGTCTAACTCGAGTGGGCCTGCAATCATTTTCGACATAGATCGTCTACGTTGTTGATCTACACAACGATCTAGAATTAACGGGGAACGACGATCCTAAAACCATGGCTCACTTTCGTGTGGATGAACTTCGAGCGTTTGGAAGCCTTCGAACTTTTAAACGGGCACAACTATGTTCACTACAGAATACACAATATTAGATCCAAACTTGAAAATGCGTTCACGATGAAAGCACCCGTTTACAATGTGATTCAGATATCTTAGAAAAATGCTAAGGCCAGCTACCCGTGCGATGCCAAAATTCTGATGGCTACCGGATACAAAGTTACCAGATATGTCAAATATATTCACTCCGTCTTACCTCCGATTAAGGGGTGGTCTAATTTTGATGTATTAAATACTAAGGAGTGTTTCTGGACTTAATATGTTTAAACGTCAAGGAGAAGCAAATCTTCTGTGGCATACAAGTTTCACAATATGTCACCAACTCTTGAAACTTGTAACAGCCTATCCCGAGTAGTGGTGTCCACAACTTCAATTAACTAATTCACTGAAAAAGTCGGAAGCTCACAGGAGCTTACTGGAAGAGGCCTAACACAAAATCTCGCTTTTATGTCCTCAAGCGTCTGTTGGTATTCACCGCATTCTGTTATGCACAATAAGTGTGACTCACTTTAGGAAGCCTGAATATTTGTGTTTGCCGCTGTCCTGGGGTGGAACTTACTGAAAAAAATACCAAAACGAGGAGCCCTAGAGACCCGTTTTTTCTATGTTTGAGACTTCTTAAAAGCTCCTTAGGTTTTAATGTCAAGGGTCGACTGTATTCTACTACTAAGTTAGTCAGCCAAACAGCATGATTTTCTTTGTATTGTTCTTGGTGATAACGTTTCTAACTCCGGAAAATTATTTACTTTAGAGATTTTGGGTTCGATTGTCCTTTTCACGTACTTATCATCGATCGGTAAACCCTAACATAGTATTTTGATTTCATTGCTGTCACTGAGATTTTCTCAGCGCTTACAAGCTAACGACTTACTTGATGTCACACCAATATCAGAAAACGAAACTACTAGACGATACACGGTTAACGAACTTGCCAAAATAGTATCATTTGTCTAATACTTATTTATATGTTTTATTATACTTTCGAAATCTATGAAGTCGTGTATTCTAATTTTTAGGTTTGGTTTCGTTATTCTGTAACCCAACACCTCATTTCTGGAACAAGTTTTACATTCAATATGTTATATATTTTACCTGAAGGTTAGTTTTCCAGACATCGCCTGCTGTTTATCGGTTTCCTTCTAGACTTACTCTTACTACAAACTTTGGTTACGACCAAAATTGACAAATGCCTCCGAGTAAATAAGAGAGTTCAGATGCATTATTTTCAAGTTTGATGAATCTGGGCGACATCTATCTCATTTGTTCAACACACAGATTCTAAACCTAGGTGTTCTATCCTGTCATACCGATCAGTGCTTCTTCCTTATTTTATTGGTCACGGTGGTAGCTGTGTTACCTAAATCTCTGACTGCGAATTCGCGAATGGTTCATCTGTGACATCCTACTTAAAAACAAAACGAGGGATGGCCCTGATTATTCCAAATTTACAGAGTCCCTCGATATTAATAACTCTTCTTGGTTTCTCTCCTCACACTATGTGACAGTCCTATTCAGTCAACGTCATGAGTGTTATAAAGTATGTTCTATGTTGCCATTAATAATGAAAAATTAAGTATGTGGGCTATGTTTGCAGACTAAGAATACATGGACCCCTAATTTCATAATAATATATCCGAAGAATTAGTGAAGCCATCTTCATTTATATGACCTGATGGACTAAAAAACAATCTTAATTTTCAATAGTTGAGATAGTGAGTCGATTGAAACTATTACTGAAATTACTACAATCTCCACAAAACCTGCTCTGATACTAATCAGCATATGCTCACTAGTGACTGGCTTCAAGAGGTATTTCCTGCAGTTCTAGTGAGAAGCAGTGACCAGTGGAGATCAACCGTGTCACTTGTGAGATAGTAACTCACTGATGGCAACGGTGGATGTGTCGCTCGATTTCGTGGGTTAGTTGAAGTTAGACATTAACATAGTTGGATGCTGACTCAGTGGTCTGGAGGTTAAGCGTTCGCGAACGAGAGCGACAGGTCGTGGGTTGGAATCTCGCGAGGTGGTATCGTGGTTGTGCATTTCTGAGGAGTCCCACAATAGGACGAAACGGCCGTCCAGTGCTTTAAGGTTCTTCATGGTATTCATTATTTGTTTGCTTGTTTATTTCTATATGTCACCAATTTACTGATCGTAGAAATACAGTATTATATCTTCCTGTTTCAAATTTACTTTAAATAAATATTATTTAGAAATTTCACTGATTGAAATAATGAGTCAACTGAAGCTAGACCACCATGGAAAGCCTGGAAGCACTGGACGGCCGTTTCGTCCTAGTATGGAACAATGATTGTAAGCTTTTTATCAAACGTTCTGAATACATCATGTAGTTATCATAAATAATATTTGGTTAAGCACCTGGCGCGAGTCTGATAGGTCCTAGACTTGAATCCCGATGGGTGGGATCGTGGATGTGCACTACTGAGGAGTCCTACACTAGGACGAAACTGCCGTCCAGTGTATTCAGGTTTTTACATGGTGGTTTAGCTTCAATTGACTCATGATCTCAACTATTGAAATTCTAATTTTGTGCATATTGGTAAATGGGATTCTAAAAGGGATATTAAAACTATCCAGAGTGTGTGCTGTAAGATATGAGTTCAAGGTACTATTTTACGTGTTTTGGTGAGAATATCTCCTATTCATAAGACTGTAACAGTGAAAATTTGGAACGCAAAAGTGTGGAAAACGGAGTGCATCGTGGACTTCCCTATCGCAAACATTCCTCACATTCTGACTATTGCACATGATTTTGAGTAGGATTAGATCTAAAATCGACTGTCACTGAGCTGTCGATGAATAGAAACCCCACATCATAATTTATGAGTGTGGATATCACCACAGTTACAAACTGGAGGCAAATGAATTTAGTCAAACAACTGCTATTCTAGTTCCACGTATATTCATACCTATATTTTAGTTTACTCCAAATTTATACTTCAGCCTCATTCAACCAAAACCTTCAACTCCACAATATTGAAAGCTGAAGCTCTAAACAAACGAATGGTGGTGTGTTTGCATTAGTAGATCATTCACTATCTAAGAGCTGCTCCTTTACTATGCAATTGTAAAAAAGACCCAAAGTTTTGCAGACCTAGGTTTGGGATGTTCAGATGGTCTATACTTTCATAAATATGTTACCAAAATATGTAGGTGGAGGTGAATATTGGGTGAATAATTCAAAACATACAGCTCAGTGTTGCATCTGGTTACGTATCTAGTTTTCATTGCTAAAAGACCCAATCGTTAGATAACTGGCTAATTACACAAACATATTTTGAGCGGTCAAGAATGGTGAAGATATTGGATAAATAGCTAGTTCGAACCATTCGATGTAGGAATGAGACAATTTCAGAAGAATTGCAGCTCTGGAATTATTGGTTTTGTTTGCTTATATAGAGATTTTGGTGGAGGTTCGTTTTTAGAGAGAAAAATAGGTATTCTTATTCTAAACGTTGTTTCCTTCCAGGCAGATCATGCAGTTTAATCCCGTCGACTTCTTGAATTTTCTAATCTATGTCGATGTAAGTCATCTATCCGATGATCATATGCTTCTTGCATTTTTCCAAGATGTTGGAACGGACAGGCATACGAACTCTGTCTGAAGCCAAAACCCCGTTTAATAGTGGACAGTTAGTGGGATGGCTAAGGGATTACTTAGTAAGACTATGAGAAGCTGTCGGATTCTGCTCGGAGTCGTTTGTCCGGTTTATTGGGAAGAGCTGAGTGCCATGAGGTCTCATCCCCGTGTCGCTCCTCCCGTTAGTTTTTAAAGATCTCCATACTACCTAAATTTATGAAATCTTGCTATATGAAAAAGATCTTAATATGCGAAGAAAGATAGTGCTATATGGAAATCTTGACCATTAAATTGTCGTGATTAAAATAAGAGAATAAACGAACGAATTAAAGAAACTCTCAAAATGACCTGGAGAAACCCCTGAACATAATCAATCAGTCAGAAGGCAACAAATATGAAGGGCTACGCAAAATATATAATTTTGACATGAACTTGAACTTGAACTTCCAACATCCAGACCACTGAACCACCATTCAACGGCGTTAGTACCAGCTTGAACCAGTCCACAATAATGCACGGCTAATAAGTACAGTGGACTTCATGTTTGAT